AGGAAGGAAGGAAGGAAGGAAGGAAGGAAGGAAGGAAGGAAGGAAGGGAAGAAGGGAAAGATAGGAAGAAAGAAAGAAACAGTCAAGAGAGAAGGCAATAGCTCCAGACAGTTTATAGAAACCCAGTTCCACTTGGCCACTGAGTCACAGTGCCAGGTGAAAAGTGGCCAGGCTCAGAGGTGTTCACCAGGTCACCCCTAACCAGATCGAAGACAGTAGGTCTGCTGGGAGCTGTGAAACCCTGCTGCCCTGGGTGTGTCAGTTACATAGGAGCGTCTGGGAGCTGGAGCTGAGTTGAAGTTTCGAGAGGTCCCTTAGGCCCCCTGGGTCAGGAAGGAAGGCGCAATGGACCTGTTGCAGCAGGAAAGATGTGGGAGATCCTTCGCTGGGTTTCCACTCTCATAAGGGGAATCAATTAGCTGATGGAAGGAAGCAAGCTTTTAGGGGCACATATGGAGAAGCACACAATCTTCTCGACCCAGGGATGCTGGAGGTGGAGAGAGAGAGAGCACAGGGTCCAGGGACAGGACGAGCTTTCCACCAGGTGGTGGGGAGCCAACCCAGAGGCATTAGAATAGCACACATGGGGGTTTTCCTCATGGCATGGTATCTCTTGAGACACTCTTCACCATGGAGGGGGCAGTTCTTACAGATCACACATGGAAGGGAACCTTGTTTCAAGCTTCAGGGGCCCCTGGTTTCCCAGGGATCTTGCCAGCTGCAGGGTGTCTTAACCAGTTTTTGACCTCCTGACCAGGTGGAATGAATGAGCCAAGTGAGGGGCATCAGGGAAAGAGCCAAGTTCCTTGGGTTAGCATTCAGCAGTGCATGCAAACCACAGCTATCCCTTCAAACTGATGAGTGAATCAGCAAGTTCAAGGCCAGCCTGGGCCTTACCATTTTTCCTTAGACATCCCACATGGGGCAAAAACATCATTATCTTTGAACTTGGGGGGAAGGATTGAGGGGGTGCCACAGGAAGCAAGAAAGTAACCCCAAACTAGTAGTCTGACTGTGTTTTGTTTGGACAGCTCCAAGCCAATGTCAGGTCCCAGCAAAAGTCAGGGTGGACTGTGGCTACCCCTCCGTCACAAAGGAACAGTGCAACAATCGTGGCTGCTGCTTTGACTCGAGCATCCCAAATGTGCCCTGGTGCTTCAAACCTCTGCTGGAGAGAGGTAAGACCAGACAGTGGTACCCAGGGTGGCCCTTCCCTGCCCGTCCATGTGGATGGGCCTCAGCAGGACAACAGCACTGTCACTATTCCTTGGTGGAGACCTCCTATCTGGGCCTTTGCACCCAGGGCAGCTGGCGGCCAGTGGCTGGCCCTTTCCGGAACATATGAAGATGTGTTCCAAGGGCCAGGGAGATGGCTCAGTCAGTAAAAGGCTTCCCACATAAGCATAGGGATATGAGTTTGAGTCACAAAACCATGTCAAAAAAGGCAGGTGTGGTGGTGCATGCTTGTACCCTCGTCACTGGGGAGGTAGAGGACGGCAGATTCCTGGGGCTACTGGCTAGCGAGTAGTTCCAGGCCAGTTAGAGACCCTGGAATAAGCAGGGGAGGACTGGTGAGATGGCTCAGCAGATAAAGGTGCTTGCTGCCTAGCCTGATGACACGAATTCAATGTGGAAGAGAACAGACTATGGCAAGTTGTCCTCTGACCCCCTCGTGTGCACTGGCATGCCCCCTTCACATCTGCACACAAAGTAAATAAATGAATATGCACACACACACATCAAAGCAAACGGCTCCCGAAGAACAACAGCGGAGCTGACCTCTACCTTCGCTTCCTCTAACACATACATGCAGGCAGGCAGGCATGCACAGGTGCACGCACAGGCACACAAACACACACAAGGACATGGTAGGAGCTGGTGTGAAACAGACAGACAGAGAGAGACACACACGGACAGAGAAACAGAGAGAGAGAAAAGAGAGAGACAAAGAGAAAAAGGGGAGAAAGATAGACCCAGAGTGAGACTCCAAGAGAGAAAGAGACAGAGGGAGAGAAAAAAGAGACAGACAGATGCACACACAGACACACACACACAGAGAGAGAGAGACAAAGATACACACAAAGAAGAGAGACAGAGGTCGGCAGACAGAGAGAGAGAAAGAGAGAGGAAGAGAAAAAAGAGACAAACAGACACATCCAGAGACAAAGATACACACACAGAGAGAAGAGAGACAGAGACAGAGAGAGAGAAATTGAGAGAGAAACTGTGTAGCTGTGGATCTGGGTTGCTTTTGAGCCTGTTTTTTTTAGCAAACTAGTCATCCATAGTTCCCTGTCACTCATGACATGCTCACAGCAGACCAGGTGACTGTGTTGGTGCCCTGTTGCTGCTTCTCCCCCTCTCCCGCCTCTTACACACACACACACACACACACACACACACACGGAGCCGATTGCAGGGCAAGCACCCCAAGAATCCCTGGGTGGGATCATGTGCGAACAGCAGATGCCCCGGCACGTGGGTGGCTTGCCAATCCTATTTTACCCAGGTCCCAGCCCAGCACCATCTTAGGGCAGCCGCCCACCGTGAGCCATCTGTCACGTCCACATGCTGGCTCACCTTCTAAGAAGGCTGCCTCTCTACACGGTGTCTTCCTGGGCCGGCTCTCAAAGGAGCCAGATGTGCCCTTTGGCCAGGGTCACAGACGGCTGAGCCCCTGCTGAATGGAGGGAGGCCAGCTGTGGGCTCCCTTCCCTCAGCAAAGCCGGGAGAAAGGACTAGGTATGGTCAGGAGCAGTGGCCGGAGCTGGGTGACCGCCCCACAATTGGCAGGTCACGTGCCTCTTGGCTCCCTTCCAGTTACCATCTCATGAACCCTCTGCCAGGACTACTGCGGGTCTGGTTATCTGGTTTCGTGACACCAGCGAGAATGCAGTGTCTCTCCCAGGCTTGTGTGGTGGGAGGAGGGGGCTCACATTTCCCTTGTGGCTGGGAGGCGGGAGGGGATGAAGGCAGACAGGTGCTGGCCTTGGAACCCATCCTGACCTTGGGGAGCCAGGCAGCCCCACTCACCTTGACCCTTTCTTTCCTTCCCAGAATGCACATTTTGAGGATCTCCAGGCTCTGGGCCCTGCACCCTGAACTCTTGCAGACGGTGGTGAGCGAGGGCAACACCTCTCTGCTCTCTCAGCCACTGGCCAATATAAGAACCCGGAGTTCTGAAGAATAAAGATCCCACAGTCAGCACAAGGCCACCTTGATTGCTGAGACCTCTGTTCTTGCGTTTATTTCTGCGTTCCGCTTTTGGGGTGGGGAGGGTGAAGGGTCACGCTTCACCGAGGGGAGGGTGTCCCAGGCCTCTGGAGAAGTGATCCTGAGTTGCTGCTGCAACACATTGGGAGCAAAAGCCTCCAGCCAGGAGCCCTGGAAGCAAGTATTCTAGTTCCCTGCTACTGCTGGGATGAAACACTGAGCAAAATCAACTTAGGGGAAGAGGGTTTATCTGGCTTCTACTTCCAGGTCACAGTCCTGTCACTGAGGAAAGTCTCAGCAGGAACTTGAAGCCAGCACAGCCCTGGGCTCACTCTCAAGTTGACTTGCTTACAAAGGCCAGGACCTGTCAACCAAGGGATGGTGCCGCCCACGGTAGCCTGGGCCCCTCTACATCCATTACCAACCAAGACAATCCCCCATACCCTCACCCTCAGGCATTCCAATAGGCCAATCTGGCCTGGGCAGGCCCTCAGCTGAGAATGCTTTCTCAGGTGCCTCTAGGCTGTGTCAAATTGAGTTAGAGCTAACCAGGCGAGCAGGCAGGTGGATCCTTTCCTGGCATACTTCCTCTGTAAGAGGAGACACAAGCAAAGGAACAAAACACCTCTCCTGCAAGATTTACACATCTGTGTCTTTCTTAATGCATCTTACATACTGGCCTGGTTTATAGTAATCTGCAGTCATATTTAACACCTGCCACCGAGGTAGCTTTTTAAACTTTTCTTTCTTTTTCTTTCTTTCTTTCTTTCTTTCTTTCTTTCTTTCTTTCTTTCTTTCTTTCTTTCTTTCTTTCTTTCTTTCTTTTCCTTTCCTTCTTCCTTCCTTCCTTTCTTTTTCTTGTTCTCTTTCTTTTTTATGGACACAGAGAGTGAGCTGCATCTCAGATCCCTTCCCATGTCCACAGGCTCTGGCTGTTTGGTCCCCTTCTTCTCATTTCCTGGTGTGGCTTTTCTCGGCACCCACTATGGGAAGGTTTGGGCTGGAGGCCCCAGCATGGCTGGTCCCTAGCTCTGCTCCCACAGACGACCCTCTTAAGGCCATATCACCTGCTACTGTATGACCCATTTACACAGCACAGGGGCCAGAAAACATGGTTTCTCACTGTGCTGTGGTTTCCGGGTTTCTTCTTCCTGGAAGAGACCTCAGTCCCCTTGAACACCACTGCACCGGAAATGATGATTCAGTGTGATTTTTGGCAAGTCGAATTTAAAGCATGCCAGACTGACTGATTGTCCCAGTGTCCATGACACCCTGGACGCACAGGGGGAAACTGTTGGAACCCACGCCTTATAGGACCATCAGAGTAAAGTCCAGAGTCCATGCAGGCTAGGCGAAGCCCCTGCTTCCTTGGCTCCCACTTGCTTTTATAAATAAAGATTTATTAGAGCCAGGGTCAAGATTACAGTGTGGAAGTGAGGTGCTGTAATCTAAGTGCAGGATTTTTGACATTTTATTCACTGCATAGCCCTGCATTACTTTTGATTTTTAAATCTGTCTTGACGTCTTAGTTTTCTGTACATTTTCATGCAAGGTGAGAACTTTAGCCCACAGTTCACCCTGGTCCCCACCCTGCTTAGTGACCCTGGGCTTGGGGCTCTCACCTTTGTAGTGACATTTCTGAGGAATCTGGAGTTTTCGTTTCTTAAAAAACAAACACGGAACCATTAAGAGTGCTTTCATTTTAATCCCAGGTGTGAGGGAGTGAGGCTGCTTAGGGCTGTTCACAGCAGCTGGCTATGATTTGCCTCGTGCTCCAGCAAAGCGTGGTTTTGCCAGCTGCAGATAGCTTCTACAACTATGTGTGATGTTTGGAATTCCGGGAACTTTTTAGAGGGTACAAAAATTTGAGAGCCCCGAGAGGCAGGGTGGGTGGTTATTGGTTGTTGAGGACATTGGCTGCAGTTTGCTCATAACCATGGTCAAAGAAGAAACAAAAGGAAAGAAATTAGATTCAGAGATCTCTTTCCCCCCTGTCTTTCTTTCCCCTCTATCCTTGTTCCTCTCCTATCTAGTGTTAGGGTGAAACTGGGGTGGGGGGATAAAGAGTGGGGAAGAAAGGAACGTACAAAGTAGCAAAGGCCAGCTATAACCTTTAAAGCTTTGTCACATCAGAAATAAGATGTCACTGCCCTAGGCTCACATACAACAGGATACAACAGGAAGTCTTTCTGTAGGCACCGTGTCCCAAAGCCCCGACTTAGAGGGAAGCTGTCACCATGTCCTTGTTTAGAATCCAAAGGGCTCCTTCAACCTGTCTGCCTGCCAACCTTAGGAGGAACACTTAGGTTCGCCTCAGCCTCACTCTTAACTACCAAGCCGTGTCCCCAGCCCAACTTTCAATTATAAATGCGATCTGAAGGTATTTGCTAGATCACTGAGGTCTCTGGTGCCCCCTGCATGCTGTCATGGGTGGTGGGAGAGTGCCAGGCCTCCTTCGCCCTAGTCCCTGCTCTGCCTAGTAAAGGGAGGGATACAGGCTGAGCCTCCGATTGGGGAACTGGTCTATAAACCCAAGCATGGTGGGAAGCTTCTGAGGTGTCCTCTCAGCGTCAAGAAACCAGACTAAAGAGGCCCTAGAGAATAAGAAAACATGGTCACAGCGGTCCCCACAAGGGAGTCAGCCGTCCCTGGCCCTGCTGTGGGGAATGGATGGAGACTGATGGAGAAGTTGGCCAGGGCCAACACCACAGAGTCCTCCAGGCTGGGAGGACCAGGCAGGTTCTGCTTCTCACCCACACTGGAGGTCAGATCTGGTACCCCGCCCCAAGCTCTCTCTGACTCGTAAAGTCCATGTTTGTATTATTAAAATAAAATGCAAAACCCGATTCCAGAGTGGCTGTTTGTAACGGTCTCTCGTACAGAGCTTAGCCATGACTGTGTCAACCTCCCATTGGTCATCTCCCCGACGACCTCCCTGTTTGAAGCTTATAAAGAAAACCAGATCCTGTCACTTTCTAGTCCTTAGTCAAGCCGTGAGATCACTGTCACTCTGTGGGGAGCACCCCCTCTCCTTGAGGCAGTTGCAGCCTTTGTTTTCCTGGGGGTGCAGCAGGCCTGGCCCCCACAATGCTCTTTGCTTGTAGCACCTGCCTACCTATTTCTGCCTGGCCCTGCCTGACCATGGGAACCTCTTCCTCAGGGTAGGGTGGGACGGGCACAGCTGAAAGCAGTCTGGCAACATTCCAGCAGCCGTGGCGCTCACACGAGAATTTCTGGGGGCATCTTCCCCGATCCCTGAGAGAAGCCAGCTGTGAGCCCACCGGGAAGTAATCAGACCTTTGAGAAAAACTCACGCAGCCTCATGGCGCCCTCTCGTGGCAGCCGGGAGTGTCGGCCACTCCTCACCTAGCGTTCTCTAACTTTCATCTGCTTTCCAGCTTCCTAAAGTTCCCAGCACACAGTCGTGAGCCAGCCATTTCCTTGAGCCCCACTCCCCTCCCCATCCCCCACCCTGCCACCGGGCAACTGTGGCTTCCTACAGTTGTTAATTCTCCCTGACACTGTTAATTCTTCCTGGCTGGGGTTTGGTAAGCCCAGCGGTACCCTGCTGGGTATCTCCATATGGAACTCATATGGGCCAAAGAAAAGTATCTCCCAGCCAAGCTCATTTTTGTTCTATTCCCTGTCTAGGTCTTGGGGTGGGTTGGGGCTCAGAGACAGTCTAACTGTATTGCCCTGTGGGTTCAGAAATTTCAGGGGCATTTATTTCTAAGTGTCAACACGACTGTGGGGATAAGGCTGGCTTTGAACAGATACAAGGTCAGAGATGGCAGGAGTCTGATGTGCCCAGTGTCACCATAGACTCTTCCCGCCTCTGTTGTGACTATCCAGGGTCCTGTCTGCTCATGGTGGCTTCAAATATGTTATGATTTGAACCCAGGCCCTGTCCTGTGCTGCATCCTGACACAGGTTTTGTCCTAGTTTTGCTTTCTGTCGCAGTGATAAACCACCAAGACCAAAACCCACTCAGGGGAGGTGTGTGTCGATTGATTTGGTTTATATATTATAGTCTATCACTGAGGAAACTCAAGGCAGGAAGCCAGACACAGGAAGTGAGGCAGAGGCCATGGAAAACTGCTGCTTAATGGCTCGGTCTCTGTGGCTATCTCAGCTTGTTTTCTTATATAACCCAGGACCACCTGCCCAGGGGTGGCCCTCACCCATCAACAGTAGTCAACAAAATACCCCCCTGATTTGCTCACGGGCCAATATAGGGGAGGCATTTTCTCAGTTGAGGCTCCCTCTTCCCAGACCATTCAACTTTGTGTCAAGTTGGGAAAAACAAAACAAAACAAAACAAAACAAAACAAACAACAACAACAATAACAACAAAGCCAGGACAGGTTGCTTTTCTTTTCTGGCTTACAGTGTCCTGCATTTACCTAGAAAGGAACTGAATAGAACGGTGTCCATTCCAGCATGGAATGTTTGCTGCCTATTCAGCCAGCGAGGGCTCCTGTCCTTACAGGTGGCTCTGGCCCCCTGGCCCCAAGTTACATCCTCTGGGGTGTGGACATGCCAACACATATTGCATTAGATAGTTTAACCTGTCACACTTAATGGGAATTTATGTGTTTTTTTCAAAAGTTTCTATGCAGACTTGACTATGGTGTGTAATGTGGAGGGGAGGGGGGTTCTCTCCTCCCTCCCCCCATCTTTCTCTCTCTCTGTGAGTATTTAATAAATGATTTTATACCTTAGGGGCACTTGGGAGCAGAGGCAGGAAGAGCACTGCAAGTTCAAAGCCAGCCTGGTGCGTTATAGGCTGGGCAGGGCTACAGAGCGAGACCCTGACTCAAAGGTGTGACTTAGCAGTGCACAAGCATGCACACACGCACACCCTCACCTCACTTCTCTGTCAAGTTCCCACTTAGGCAGTTGAGATTTGAGTGTGTTGCCAGGGATATAAGCCCTTGGTCCGCCCCGTTGCTTCTGACAAAGCTGGTCCCCTTCCAGGCTGACCCCGTTCTATGATCAGCCTTCTCTCTAGGCACAGAGATTACTAGCTGCTTTTTCCTGCCGGTGTTGGACTGGCCCTGCAGCCTTTCCAATGTGTGGCTACACCTCCTGAGCCCTTCCCCTAACCCTGCTCCTAAGCCCCTAATCTGTCTCTTCCAGAGGACAGATCTGCTCCATACACGCTGAGTGTGCAGCCCCAGTGACCACTAGAGGGCGCCCTTGGGCACCCACATGCATTTGTCCTTGTCCTTTCAACGCCAGTTGCATCTCATCAGGCAAAGGATATGGCACTCAGGTCCCCAAGGGGAGGAACACTGTGCTGGTGATAGCCCAGAGACGGATGAGCCTGTGTGCCATCCCCCCTGCCCCCAAACTTTCATTCAGAGAAGTTTGCTGGGAGCTTTCAGAGCTGCTGTGTGTGCTCGGGGCAAGGGACAGACAGGTTTAGGCCATGCTGCATAGGGAGGTAGAGAGTCAATAGGGGCGCCATGCTGGCTGCTTGGGAGCAAGGATTGCTCACGGAGAACCATGTACTGGCCCCAGCCGGTCACCAGCGAGGCCCACCCCATAGCTAGGTGCTCCCTGGCTATTCTCAGCACCTCTGCCTCCCACTGTGAAGAGGGACCTCCCAGGCTTACGGGTTTCTGGAGCCCAGACTCAGTGAACATAAAATAGACATGACCCCTAACTGGCACAGGTCATTCCACAGCTAGATGCAGGCCCACAGCATCCCAACTGATTGATGATTCTGTTTTGTCCCTCCAGTGCTGGCAGGCAGGGGAGAACAGTACTGTGGCTTTGAGTGAGACTGAAGATGCTGGGGGTTAACACCAAAGTTTGCCATTCTGTCTATGGACTTGTGGTGGATAGTTTTATGTCAGCCTGACACAAGCTAAAATCATGAGATCGGGCTGCAGGCAAGCCCATAAGGCATTTTCTTAATTAGTGACTGATGGGGGGAAGGGCCCAGCTTAGCCCATTTCAGGTGCTCCCATCCCTGGGCTGGTGGTCCTGGGTTCTATAGGAAAGCAAGCTGAGCAAGCCGTGGGGAGCAAGCCAGTGAGCAGCACCCCTCCATGGCCTCTGCATCAGCTCCTGCCTCCAGCTTCCTGCCCTGCTTGAGTTCCTGCCCTAACTTCTTCCAGTGATGGACAATGACATGGAAGTGTGTAAACCAAAGCAATGCTTTCCTTCCCAAGTTGCCTTGGTCATGGTGTTTCATCACAGCAGTAGAAACCCTAGCTGGACTCATGGCCTTTGCAAGATCGCAGGATGGGAAGGCTGCTCCGAGTCCCAGTGGTATTACTCGGGAGCCGTACCTGGGGAGCTGAAAGGCTGAGATGTTGGGAATGTCCTTACAGCATCTTAGACTGTCACAACTCTGAGTTCTAGAGCCCCAGCCTGTGCCTGTGCCTCCCTAGCACCTGAAGCCTTACAGAGCAGGGTACAGGCTCACGTAGCTCTTCATTTGTGTCAAACAAGGGGGCCTTTCTGCTTCCTTTCCTGAGCACTCTGTTCTGCAGTGATCGTCAGGGTTGGAAGGGCCTAGGGCTGCACCCAGTGATGACCAAGGCTGGGAAGACCTATGATTGGGCTGTTGTCTCCTGTGGTGCCAGGGCAGAGTCATGAGGATAGGAAGGCATCAGGGTCCCTTGGAATTGACCGTGCAATCTATGCATAGAACAGGCTTCCTTCTTAGCACGCTGCTCATATCTGCAGGAGGGAGGCCCATGTTGGCACAGGGACAATGGGAAGAGGGGCCCAAGACAAATCCTCCACTTTCCCCAGGATGAAAGAGGCAGGGCGCCGAAAGGCCACCAGGATGCCGAAGTGTCAGCAACCACGTGTGTCATCTCCTTGTGGAATCGTAGGTACCTCTATCCAACTTGTCCGGTTTCAGTTATCTGTGGTCAACCAGGGCCAGAAAATACCGAAGCTCCTTTGAAAGACTCCATTTGCCCCCCTTTCATCGTGGCGTATTGTCACGAACACTCCAATTATCGGCAGCTAACGCTGTTAATCTCTTGCCGTCTCTAACTTAGAAATGACTCTGTCATGAGGGCATCTGCAGCGGAGCTGAGATTGGGGCACTGCCCAAGAGTCCTGAGCGTATTCCCTCAGATGAGGGCACTACCGCTGCAGTGGGGGTGCCAGGCTCCTATTTCTTCCCTCGTCCTGGACCCAAACGGGTTTGTCAAGAAGGCAGCCTCACCGGGCCACCGTAAGACCTTCCTCTGCAGATGGTTAATTTCAGGAGGACTTCCACAGAAGGCTCAACGCTGCGTCGTCAGGGGACCTCAGGGGGGCAGCTGGCCTTGTTAGCAAGAGGACACAGGGAGATAAGGACAGGAGCACATCAACACGAAGGCACACCCTCGCCAGCACCACGCTCACGGTGCTCTCTTGCCAGACTTCCTCCCATGTGGCAGGGCTCTGCAGGAGCCACTGACTCGTCCCCTTTTGACCTGCCTGTCAGGGTCTCTGCTGTGTCCTAGAGCTGAGAACAAGGTGTAGTTTGCAACCCTGGCCCTAGGCCCTTGCTACTCTTCAGAAGTAAGTTCTTGCGGCTCGCCCGGCTGAGAGCTTGAGGAGGCCAGATCTAAATTGGATCAGACACAGGCACATGTGGGCTGCCTGACTGGCCAGCAGCTGCTTCCCAGAGTCCAGGCTCAAGCCTGAAAACCGATCTCCCGCTGAAGCAGAGCCCTGGGCAGGACACCCCTATTGCAGCTGCTAGGGCACAGAGAGGAAAAATGGGCAAGGTTGTCTCGGCTGTGCCTCTGGGGTTGTGGTGGTAGCGGCCTTCATGTTCCAGCAGCTCAAGCCTCAGCTGGTGCTGCTGGAGCTCAGGGTCACCTGATCACAGCAGAGGACCTGGGTAAAGCTTCTGGGGGAACACAACCCAAAGACAGTTGCGCAGAAGACGCTGGAGAGAGCAGGCTCATTCCACAGTGGGTCAGACCCTACACCCGATCAGAATTCTTTACCAGGTAGACACAAGCATCTTCAGACAGTAGAAACACGGATTTGACTCAGCGAACACGCACACAAATCACTTGACGCATTTGATGCCCAATGCGCGTAAAAATTTCATATAAAATATTTTATTAGTAGTTTTGTTTCTTCCAAGTAACTAACTCTATATTGACACAGTCTGCTCCTTGAGCTCCCTGCTGGGTTCCATCACATTCTTTTCTGTCACATTCTCATTTAGCTGGTGTTGCTCAATAGCCTGGATGGATTTTCCACTGGACTTTTTCATCTCCTGTGCCACAGGCATAGATGAGATTTTGTCTTTCCTCCTCGGGGTAAAGGTGATAGGAAAGGAGTTTGGAGGCTGGTGTGCCGCTGATACAAAGGGAGAGCCACAGAATAACACTCTGAGACACGAGCGGAAGCAGGCCTACACATGTGCACCTAGGAGAGCGCACACGAGTGTATGTGCAAATTCCTGTATAGACACTCAGACACGAATGCTTGGGCACCAGGGTCTCTGTCCTGAGGTGTGGGCCACTAGCATTACCACAGGAAGCTCAGACAGAAAAGAACGGGACCACCTCCACTAAGACAGGGGTGCAGTCGGCCCCGGGGTGAGCTAGTGACACTCATCATAGGCACTGGGATGTAAATCCCTCAGGGGACAAAGAGCAGGTTGGCCTCTCTGCTTGGCCTTCTCTTTGACGGCAGAATGACTGACTGAGTAGACAGCCTCTGTGCCAGCGCTGCGCTCTGCCACCGTCTAAGCGTTCTCGATCTGTTTGCTTGGACAAGGACGGCTGGAAAAACCAGAGGGCAGGGACTCCGGGCTCTGATGGCCCTCAGCACCATGCCAGCCCCTCCCCGCCTCCGTGCTACACAGATAAGGAGAGCAAAGCAGCTGCCCTGAAGGAAGGCCCCTTCCTTGCCCCCGGGGCCTGGGGCAACAGGGGGAAACCAGCTCAGTGAAGGTTTGATGGATGAATACAGGGAGAAGCAGAAGGGGCCGCAGGGTCCCAGACATTCCCAAGAGGAGGTGCTCACCTCCAGTCTCTTCTGTTCTCATGAACACACGCAGAGGTGTTTCCTGCTCTGTGGATACTGTCTGTCCCCGGCCTCGGCTCATAAACGACCTTTCTTTGAGTTTCTAAGACGAAGGCTGTTATGTTCCATTTTTCTAGTCCTAACGGTGCTTGCTCCCCCCCACCTCCAGGTGAGGAAGGGAGATCCTAGCACCTACTGCGTGCAGTGCTCCCTCAGCTCATCCTCCTCCCTGGAAGTACCACTCCCCTGCTCCTAAGAGTTTAACTCTCTAGACAGAGGATAGAGGAGGAGGCAGGAGAGGCTGGGATGGAAGAACAAAGGACAGGGCTGGACAGAGGATATCAGACCCAGCCTCTTCCAAGCTTAGGGCTAGTAGGCCCCACAGGCCTCACTTCCTGATGAAAACTCTAAATTTTCTGTCTTTGGACCTCTTTTTTTTTTTTTTTTTTTTACATAAGGACTTTCATTTTACTCTTGATAACATGAGGCAGTGGTGTAGGCTTTAACCTGATAGATTCCTTCCTTGCAATTGAAGGAGCTCAGCTAGAGAGGAAAGGAAGGCCTGGGTCCTTAGAGTCACATGGAACCCAATTGCAAAAGAGTCTGACTTTAATGTCAGTATCAGGAAAGGTGGACACTTCTGGGTACCCCTACCATGACGGAGACAAACAGGAAATGGATGGATGCTCCCTTATCACGGAAAGAACAGGAAATGATCCAGAAATCCAGACACCATCTCTGGAGCCCCAGCTACGGATGGTGACGAGGGGAGCCACACACCAGGACACCTGTGGACACTGGATGAGGGACCAGGATGGAGAGTCGCCTAGTTTGGCTGTCAGCCTGCCTGGAGTGTGCAAACAAATGAGCAATGCTGTCCTGCAGGTGACTTCTGACCCCTTACCTGCTCTGCTCAATATACTTTACCCTGCCCGCCAGCGGCCTGCCAGCTCTTGTATCCTGAACTCAGACTCCGCCTGGTGGAAGGACCCCATCATACCCTCACTTAGGATCGGCAGGAAAGAACTCCTCCAGAGGCTGAGGCACTCTTCCAGATTTGAAACCTGGACCACAATACCTATGACTGACAGCACAGTGGTCTCCACAGAGAAACGCAGCCTCTGGTAGATCCTGCCATGCGTCACCCCTCACACTAAGCCGTAAGTGGAGACACAGAAGGAATGGTTTCCTTGGCACCAATGTTGCCAAGCGTGAGTCTGGCCACCCAAGTCCCATTCCTTCCAGACCACAATTCACCAGCTATCAACGGCCAGTTCCTCTCTGGGTGCCACGCCTAACACCTTGGAATTAAATGAAGACTTTTCCTTTTTTTTTTTTTTTTTAATGAAGACTTTTTATAAAGGCGAATCGTGTCCCTGGTTAAAAGCTGAACCTAGAAGGCAATGCCATGTTTGTATAGAACGAGCAAACTGAAAATTACATCGTAATATGCATTTCAATCGTGTTCTCTATAAAAGATCTAGGAGTGAAAAAAATAAAAAGAATCTCTAGATATCTTCTCAAAGCACATCCATGCGTTAAGTAAAATTCGGACCCTTAATCATTCTCTACAGGTAAGATAGGAAAGCTTCAAGGCCACGACCGAGAAATCTCGGGACCTGTCAGAACATGAGCTAGTGCAATTTACTTACAGGTGTGGAAACTGAGGCTCACAGGGGTAAACTGACCTAACCCACAAAAATAGAGGCTTTTGTGGGAGACTGATACTAGGTGCTCCGGGAGAAGCAAGCAGCTGCGTTTTAACGGGGGCATCCACGGCACCTCCCCTTCCACCTAGCCAGCCTGTCCATCACGGATGCCCCGTTGCCCACCCCCGAAGTTTGAGGGGTACACCCGCTGTGTCCCCAGGCCGGCTTCCCAGGCTTAGTGGAGGTAGTTAATGTGACTCGTGAAGAACGGGAAAATGCTCTTAAAAACAAACAAACAAACAAAACAAAACCAAAAAAACTGACAAGGTGGACTCTAGTATCTCCTGGGCAAAATTAAAGTGGCTGGAAAACTAGGAAGAAACCATCTATTTCGCTTAAAATGAGAAGCATGCGGAAAAAAAGAAAAGTCTGGGAGGAGCCTGCCAACTTCCCCTCAGCCCTGTCGGCATCGTTTAGTCCTTGCTAGCCCAGTGCAGCCGGCGTGGTGGTCTCCCTCGCCGTCTGTGGTGGTGTCTGTGGGGCCCCACTGGGTGGCCACGTGGGATTCCTCTATTCCTAAGCAAAGCACACCTTTTACCCTGAATAAGTCCTCGAAAGGTACTAAAAAGATACAATCTCTCAAAATGAATGAAATTTATCGACTTTGGCTCGGAAAGTGACTTCCTCATAAGTGAGAAGAACTTTAGAAAGACGAAACCATTAAGGAATGGAGTTCCACGTGGGTGGACTTTGCCCAGTGACGACATCCACCTCTCTGGGGGACCAAGGCGGCTGACACTCCTCATCCAGGTCAACGTGTCCCGGGCTCCAGGAAGGAGCTTCGACTGAGGGAGCTTCTCGTCCCCAGCTGGACCGGAGGATGACATTCTGTGCCACTTGCGTTTTCAATCCCTCGTGTGAAAAAAGAACCCCAACCGCCCTACATCTTCCTAGTTAGAAAAGGAGCAGTTCCAACCCGCCGGGCGGAGGCGCTCAACGCCGGTCGCCATCGACCCGAGCAGCCTCCAGGTTGGGTCGGGAGAGTCTTTGTCACCAGGAGCAGGTGCAGTGCCCTCGGTCACAATGTCTGCTTTGCCTCGCTGCTGGCCTTGCGAGGGGTTTTACCTCTCGGCCCGGATTTTGTACCTCAGGACAAAGTAGGCAATGAGCCTCAGGGAGATGAAGAAGATGCCCAGGACGATGAAGTCCAGGTACAGCTTCGCGTTCTCCACGTCCAGCTCCCGCAGGATGGCCTCTGACTTCTGGAAGTGGCACGTCTCGGCAATGTCGCAGTGGAGGTCCTCCCGGTCCAAGCCATAGATGGAGAGGATGACGCCCTCGAAGCCGTACCTAGGGAGAGGAGCACCGGGCGTGAAGGGCACTCCTTGCTGAAGGTCACTGGCTCTCCACGCTCGGTGACACCACCCCCCAAGTCTGCACTTCTTCCTGACATCACAGCATCCCCCTAAGTCGATATTCTAGCGGCCTCCCGCCTCTGTTTCCAATCCTGTTTCTTCCAGGGCCACCAGAGAATGCGAAAAACGGCATGAACTGTGCCTACTCCACTGGGGCAATAAATAAATGAATAAATAAAATAAAACCTATCTGGCTTCCTTCGGAGCCTGCACACCTTTTCACTGTTAGGTTACGGGTTGGGTATCCTGGCAAGAACACCGGAGTGTTTAAATAAAGCCCCCTTTTGGTCCAGCCCTGTTTTGCAGAACAAAAGCACCCATCTTCAGAAGAAAGGCACTGGTCTCTGGTTTCCCAGAACTGGCAAGCACACAGGTAGCTGAAACCCTGTACAAGGGCTTTGTGTCTGCCTTGTTCTCCGAAACAATGTAGTGGGGTCTAAAGCTGACACTCCGGGAAGGCAGCACTTGTTCCCAGCGCGGACCTTTGTGACACAGGGAAACAGCTGCAGCTGGGGGTGAGGGAGTGAGGACACAGGCCAAGTACCAAGGAGGGACACTGACTGCCCCTGACTGCCCCAGGGAAACCCAGAGAGAATTCGGAATCCTGGTAGACCCTGGAACCCAAATCGCCAGAGAGTTCCTATTAGAAGGAAGGCACTGGGGTATTTCAGAGAGGGCTCGTGGTGTCTCGTTTAGGTTTTATAATCCGAATCACATTGTGGACTTTCTACATAAAATGTGGACACACGCTTGGAAACAGCCAGCACTTGAGGGCGCCACCATAGCATCTTCAGGGTATGAGTCTACGTGCATGTGTGTGTGCTGGAGAGGTGAGGCACAAAACTGAGGAAAACCTAAAGATCCTCGGAGTCGGGGTGAAGACTCACTGGGTGGGCCAAGCGGAGGGTTGCGGGAGTCCCTTCTTCCATCACCACTCAGTTCCCGGCCTGCCCCTCCCGCCGCAACTGCCCGCGTGTACCTGACGTAGGAGATATAGGACATCCACTGGAGGTAGGCTGGGATCGTGTCGAAGCTGACGAAGAATCCCGAGAAGAGCAGGACAGGGATGGCTGTCACGGGCCCCACGAACGTTGCCACCTGGACGGAGACGGAGGGGGAATGGGAACAGTGCTCACGGGAGGGGGCGGAGGACAGCCTACCCGCCCAGGTGACCCCCGAGGACACCCCAGGGGCTGGAAGGGAGGAGTGTTGAAGGGCCAGAGTCTTCCCGCACTGGCTAAGACCAGGATGGTGGCCAGGAATGTCCCCTGGCAGGGCCAGATGTTAATCTACTGAAGGGAGACCCTGAAACTCCAGTTGAGGAAGGGGACAGAACAAAATAAACACTATTTCCTGAGGACAGAGGACAACGCTTTCTGGGAATGGCCTCTGAGGAGTCTCAGTGATCATCGATGTCCCTGGAATGGATCATTGGGTAGGGCCATCTCTCTGGAGGTCCCACCTAGAGGCAAAGATGCTGTCACCTGCTGTGACACCAAATGCCAGAGACAGGTTTCAAGGACCCCATGGGACCTTGTGTTGACCTTGTATCTCCTGTGTCGAGACAGGGGACAGTCCTTCCTCTGGGGTCCTGCTGTCCCTGAGAGCTGAGGGCAACACGTGGCAAGGCTGGCAAGCAGCAGCTCCCACTGGCTGGGCTCGAGGGAAAGAGTCCAGGTGTGGCTATGATGCACACACACATACAATGTGGTACACATATTGTATGTATATGAGCTTAATGGACACCCAGCACCCAGCCAGATATGCCCTCTGGGGTCCAAAGCTCTGGGGGTAGGGGTTGGGGATAAGAAGGTGAGGTGGGGGGGTCACCTTAGGGGATAAAGCCATCTATGAAAACTACGCAGTTCTGATGTCTGGGTGGGACAGGCAGGGTGCATAGGCCACACTGAGGTGGGAGGCCAACACGGGAGTGACAGATACTCTTCCAAAGGCCTGATTTGGGGCTGGTATGCCCCAGCCCCTTCTCCGGGGTGTTGTCTTTGGCTCTCGTGACAATGCTATGAGGCAGACCCCATGGATGCTTATACCTCTGAGTAAGGAACTTGGAGCCTGGAGGCCAGGAAACCATTGTTGGGGACACTAGAGGTGAACTGGAGAGTGTGAGGCCCCCAGGAGCCCTTGCAACATGACATGGGGGCTCAGGAGACTCAGGTGGCTTTGGTTTGTAAGGACTGGGAGGCAACGGGGAATTGGAGATGAAACCAGGCTCAGAGACGGAGAGGGGCGATGCGAGGCTCTGAGTGAGGGGAAGAATGGGTGGCCACTACTGGTATGCCAAAACGTGGCCAAGTGGACCTACTGGGGCACGACTAGAGAGGTGTGGGGCGCCCGGCCTCTATGCCAGCTGTGATGCCAGCCATTCTAGGCATCTCTGTTCCTACCTGTAAAACGAGGTCCTGGGGGTGTGTTTGGTACTACATGAGCTGACATTTAGAAAGCATAGTGGGGGGGACTCGAGTCTGGGCATGTGCAATGTGTGGGCACAGCCGCTCTGCAGGTACCTACTGTGAGGATAACCCCACAGCAACGCTGTCCTGTCCTACGAGAACAACTTGGTGAAGACACCCGGAAGTTCATGACAGGATTAAGGGCATGGGGGCAATCACCCGGGGCCCCATAGGACCCCACTGGACCAAGGAGGCAGACAGAAGCCCGGCACCGCCCGGCACGTCCCCAGCTGTACCTGCAGGGATGTGGAGGCAGCTCCAATCAGCAGGCCTAGGGACTGGGCCACCAGAGACGTCATGGTGCCCAGGGCAGCGAACAGCACGAAGCGCACGGCGTCCGAAGGCTGCGACGTCATCCAGTAGACGATGCTGCAGTAGGCCACGGGGAACATGATCTGCGGGGACAGAACCCGTGTCCCTGGTTGCTCTGCTGGTCCCACCTGTGGACTGTTATCCCCCTGGCGGGCCCCACAGATCCCACCAAATCCTGCCTCGCTTCTCAGCTCAGCGGGACGCTCGTGGAAGCGGGTCCCACCCGGCTCTGTAGGGTGAGGAGCGTCTGCTCCCTCTTGCAAATCACTGGTGGCTCCTACCTGAAAGGGGACGTCAGCCATGGTCTTGGCCAGGTAGTAGGCCTTCAGGCTGTACCAGTAGTTGAGGTGCTCTCGGAGGAAGACGCTCATCTCCAGGGGAACTAGGACAAGGACAGAGAGGAGATTGGTTGGGTGGGCACAGCCAGGGAGTTGGATATGCATACTGGATGGCCTTGGGCTAAGCCCTTGGGGTTCTGACCTATATCACAGTGTGAGCCCCTCCCCCTTCCCAACCCCTATCACTGGACTGTTTCTCTGATCTACAGAGTTACGTGGTGGTCTGAATGAAAGATATCCCCCACAGGCTCAGGTCGGTGAACACTCGGCTGGCAGTTGGTTGTGCTGTTTGGGGGAAGTTATGGAACCTCTAGGAGGTGGAGCCTCGCTGGAGGAAGTGTGTCATTTGGTGGGCTTTAAGGGTCTACAGCCTCGATCCATTTCCTGTTTTCACTCTCTGCTTCATGTGTGCAGATGAAATGTGACTGACTGGCTTCCTGCTCCTTCCGGGCACCCTGCGCCTTCCCCATCATTACGAATGCTGGCTCTGGAACTATACGCCAAACAAATGTTGTTTTTTCCCTAAGTTACTTTTAGCTGTAATGTTTTATTACAGTAGCAAAAAAGAAAACCAACCCAAGCGGTCCCATGAAGAGCCAGCGTGGGCCATGTCCCCTAGGACACTGAGTGTCTCTATGGTGGCTAGTGAGAGCATTCTGACCAGCCCTGTCCCCGGTGGTTTCATCAGCATTCTGACCACTAGATTTCTGCTTTGCACGTAGCAGCCCAGAGTGGCCAGAGCTGGCCATCCCAGGCTCTTCGGAACTCCACTGGTCAGGTGGACATAGCCAAATTGAGGGTCTCTTGAATATCAAACTTTGGGGGAAATTCCCTCCATTGCCTTCCACCATGCCTAGTTGCCTTTCATTGATATTTGACCATTCTGTACTAAACACAGCATCTTCGTGTGTTCTGTGTGTGTGTGTGTGTGCGCCGCATATGTGTAGGTGTCCATAGAGACCTAAGGCATTGGATCCCCTACAACTGAAGTTACACGTGGCTGTGAGTCATTCAACATGGAGGTGAGAAAACACATCTGGGGCCTAGGGAAGGGCAGTGTGTCCTCTGATAACCACTGAGGCATCTCCCCAATAGTCTCTTATCCAATAGTAAATACAGCATAACCTGTTTTGTCAACATATAAAGGTTGAATTGGAAGCATCAAGACATTGCTTGCCAGTAAAAGCCACACCCGGTCAGGGCAGGCCTCGGCCCTGAGCCTGGGTGGGAGTGCCAACTCAAGGGGAGAGGACACTCACAGGTCAGAACGGTGGGCATGAGGGCAGCAAACATGAGGAACAGCATGGAGAAGAACAGGAAGCCAGAGTTGCTCAGGACCTTCTTGGCTTCGTTCCCGATCCCCAGGTACAGCAGGCCGATGAGGAGGCCAATGCCGATGTGCGAGGTGATTCGCAGGTGTGTCAGGACCTGAGGGAAGACAAAGGTCTCTCACCCAGGGCATAGGAGTGAAAGAATAGGCCGAGGCCACTGGAGGCATTGGGATTCTGATTCCTGTGACAGCAGATTATAAGAGCAAACTTCCGTTTCCTCCAGGGAAATAATCAGAGCCCTTATCAAGGGCATGCATTCTCTCTCTCTCTCTCACACACACACACACACACACACACACACACACACACACACACACACAC